GGGCTTGATCCAAATACTTTTAAAATCATTTTGAAGTCTTCAATAATTTAATATCTTTTGACTCGAATATGTCTACACATTCCTTCTTTGGGCACAGAAGATGTTAGGAATCCACCTAAAGTACACAGGGATTTCCAAACTGAAGCAGGCCTGTGGTCCACTCAGTCTGGATTTCCAGTGCCAGACAAAGGCCAACACCAAGGGTGCCTATACATGAGTGTGGAGGCTGCTGTGACATGCTGTGATTAATTGAGTCTGCTGGAGCATGGTAATTTCCATGCTCCAGCCAGCCTACACGTCTTGTTTATCGGTGTCCCTATGCTTCAAAATGGTGGCAGAGGTACTTGAACTAAAGCTCCTTGAACAAGCTTTGCATCCCCATCACCATTTTGAAGTGTGGGGACACTGATACATGAGAGACTGCAGCGCTTTAATTAGAGCAACTCTCAGACCTGCCCTCCCGCACCCACTCCCCAACTCCAGAGCACATGTAAGAGTGCCCTAAATGCTTCTGAGGAAGCTAAAAGGTACCTGGCCTGTAGGGATGCATCTTATCCTAGCTCCAAACAGAGATCAGTTTATGTCCAGAAGCATAAGATTTCATATCTACTCTTGCTATTGCTAGAAATATTTGGTCCTTGTGAGAATCTTGCTACTATACTGGACTCAAGTAGGGATTTGCATCAGATATACTGATCAATAATTTGGGAGGTAAATGCTGTCATAGTGTAATTAGAATGCAGTTCCGCAGTCTTTCCAGACAAAGGATAAAATCCTGCTTTCCCATAGGGGTAAACCTGGATTAGGTCCAGACTGTCATCTGTTAGCCCAAGAACCAGTCATTTTTGCTAAAAGAATAGCTGTTATGCATCAAGCCTGATAAAGACCCTTATAGGTATTACCCACCTTTTCTCACCTAAGCTAGCACTTGTCCTTCAGTTCTCTCACATGACGGGTCTTTAGCACCGACCACAAGCTGGGCATCAAATGATGCAGAATGTTTTCTAAAAACCAGCATAGTCCAGCACACAGCTATTAACCAAATGGGCATACTGTGCATACCAATTAAAACATTAAATTATAGGGAGAAGGCAGAAGGGGAGCCAGGATTTTAGATCCCATAGCATTTTCAGGCAAGTGAGCTGTCAACTGAAGAAGCAACTTCACTAACTGAAACTTGTGAAGACTCTGATGTACCCAAAACTCTGAATACTCCAAATAGTTATGTCAACTGAGGTTACTACAAAGTTTAAATTGTACTGGCAGTGGAGTCCTCTATTGTCATGACTGCTGTACAGACATAAAGATGGAGGGAGAGGAGAGAGAGAGAGAAAAAAAAGAAGATACATGTATATGTCATGCATTATAAGGTTTATTAGCATAAGTTTGGGAAGGCCACATTATTCACAAGCAGCAAAGCCCGTAAAAGTTTGTACCAGTACCATATGCCATGCACTGTATATGTGACATGTACGGTGCCACACACACACATCCTTCTGGAAAGGTTATAAACTGCTACAGGGGCAGATATGGAGGTGGGGTGGGGGAGGGGGGGGGGAAAGAGAGAGAAATGCTCAAATTCAAAATTGCAATCCTGACAGCCCCTACCCAGCTCCCGGCTGAAAACTTCATCAGGGTTGTCAGCCTTTCCAGTGACTAAACTTTTGCTTTTGCAGCAGCACAGAAATGCCTTTGGATGTTGTTACCCGTACAATTCACACATGCTATCTCTAATGAATGTAAAGCAATATTAAAGTTAGCATGGGCTGTCAGCAGCCACACATTAAGGGTTAATACCCTCTCTAACATGTAGAGTTCTGGTGAGCAGGGGTGTCGCTAGGAGCTGCCAAGTCTGCCCCGTAGCTGCCTGTTCTCCAGTTGCCCCCCACCACTCCCATGGTTCATCCCCACTCATCCACAGCTGCCCAGGTCTCCCTTACCCGCTTTCATTTTGGGGCAGTAGAGTTCTGAATGATAGACTGGGAGGAGGGGGGGGGGGTGAGGACTGGGAACAGCGCATCCTGGGATCCTGGAGGACTGCAAATTGCTGGCATTTGCCCTATGGAGGGGAGAGATGTTACTGCAACATGAGCTGCCTAACACCCTGCCTTCATTACTTTTCAATCAATAGCTCCAGGCAGCTCCCCACTCAGAGTCCTGACTCTGGGTTGTCCCCAGCTCAGTGTGCTGCTTGGATCCTAATGCTTCCCAAGTGCTGTACAAGTAGCCTAGGAACCTAACACAAGACTTTGGTTTTAACTTTTAGGTCCATGATCCCTGAAGTGGAAATCCAAGATTCATCATGAGGACAACTGTACAATTCTCAAAAGGGAGAAGAAAACTATAATCAGGCTATATTAAAAATCATTACCAATAAGCTAAAATAATTTTTCATGCATTGAAATACATGAATGTGATCTACAGCATCCTATACTATGGCAGGGCTAAAATCAAAAACACATCAATTAAAGGAGGAGCATCTCTTTTAAGCACAAGGCATGCAAGATTTTGAAGCTTAAACTTGCTAGTGGGTCGAGCCTTGGTGGTTACCCTAGCCTCAGGGCAGTGGAAATTTGGATGGGAAATCCAGCATTTCAGTGAAGCAAGAAAGATTGGTTGGCCAGGCTGTGTTTGTTCAGATTTTAATTGAGACCCGCTTAACTTCAGAAATGCACAGACATAAAGCTGAGTTGCAACCCTCCTTTCCAGACCAAATGTGGAAACTTTGCTACCCCCGGGGCAGGGCAGGAACCTAGACTGAGACTCTTAAATTCAGTCAGATACTCCTTGACTTTGCTGCAGGGAATAAGTAACCTGTACCTACCCTTTTGCTGTCACACCTTACTGTCTTTTTCTGACTTGCGCAGCTGTCAGAATACCAGAGAGGTAAAGCATACAACTGATCCTATTCCCTCCAATCCCTCTGTGCAGGAGTGGAAGTAGCACCCTGCTAGCAAGAGCTCTCTATTCCACTTCCACTCCATTGATACAGGCAGCTGATACACGGGGTGAAGAGGTCCTCGTATCTCCTTGCTATCTGTTCAGGTAAACACATAGTGAAGGTAGCCATATAGAAAATTCCACACTCCACAAACAACTGAGTCTTTACCATTACCGTCAAGACACCAGATGACTGGGTTTGAATATTGGCTATTAAAGCTGCTCAAAAGTTTGGAATACTTCAGGTAGTCCTGGAAAGACAGATTATTGCCAGAGTACTGGGAAAGACATCATGGAAGCATACAAATTGCAACTTATCACACCTTTTTAAATAAGTGATCATTGCTATTATGACCCAATTATTTAAAAGCTCTCACTACCATGATGTTAATTTACTTTGTTCAAAGAAGCAACTGAGCTGTACAAATATATATGAATTGCTCCTTCTTCTATAGTAACAGTATTAGTGCCACTTCTGAGAGGCATGGATTTAACCTAGTTAAATTAACTAACCAGGCACTAATTTAATAGCACAAAGCAATATTTATTCTCATGTTTACCAAAGTGTGGGTCAAATATCTTGGAGGAGGGCACAAAGCAAAAGGCTGGGGAAGAAGTCATAGCCAAGCTCTTCAGTTGTTCAAGGCCAAGAAGAAAAAAAAAGGCAGGGAAAGATAGTAACTTTCCCTTTGTGAAGAAGGCCTAAACTGATGTAAGGATAGCTGATGCAGTGGTATCTGACTCAGTTTTCAGAAAGCCTGAAAGAGTTATAAGTAGAGGATGTTCATTCATTTCAATGGGTGCTGATTGCAGTGGTAAGGATGTCTAAGTAACTGCAGGTAGACTCTGTAATTCCTATGACAAAGTAGCTAGGCACAATCAACCACAGGGCAGTTTGTACTATTGGCCTTGCTTAGCAAGGCCTCAGTAAGCACTCCCTGCACCATTTCTCCACTAATATTTTGTAGCAAGATAGCTAATACATGTTAGTTATGCCACCATAAACACAGTTTTTATCAATGAAGACAACACTATTTAACTACTGATGGAGTAAAGACCTAGCTGGGGGGAATAGAATTGGGATGTAGCAGAGGATAGGAATAAATTAAGGTATGTAATGCTTAAAATAAAAGCACTGGGCTTTCAGCGGTGTCCTGATGGTTTGCTTTCCCCCCCTCTAAATTTTATAAAGCACAGACTTATCCAGTTGAAAACAGGAAGCGAAGAAGAAATAACCCTATCCAAGTGGAACTGCCAACATAAGGGTGGAATTCTCTACCCCAGAGGAGGAGGTGTAGAAGAGGACTGCTGTTTTCATTTAAATTAAATCAATTTACTAATCAGGGTGGGATTTTGCTTCTGGGAATCAGGAAGGATAAGGGAAACAGGAATATTAAGAGCTGTCATTATTACAAACAGCCTTCATTGGGATTACACAGGGTGTAAATCAGCATAAAGTGTGACATATTTAGCTGGTCTAAGAAGCCTTGTTTCAATAAGATGTTTTTCAAATCCCTTGTGAAAACCTAATGCAAAGGGTTAAATAAGTGTTTACATCTCCCTAATAAAATTGCCAACAGTCAAAGCCAGCCAGCCCCTAGAATGCAACATATGTCCTAAAAATAAGGGGGTTTTTTGCAAGTGTTGTCAGTCAAGATCTCCATGACATTCTGCACTACCCTACATCATTTCACCTTTACCTGCAGGTGAGACTGGAAATTTCTGGGTACAAAAATGAAGATTTTGGCACAAGCTAACATGAGCTACAGTTTCCATCCTCAATGACTTCCCTGAATTTAGACGCAACAGCCACAGAGAATATAGTGTGTGTGATATAAGCAGTTTTAAGTTGAAAGCTCATTCCCACCAAATGTCTGCATTTTTGCGAGCGCCAAGAAAGACCTCGACTCAAGTATAATATATTTCCAAGAAAAAGTCTTTGCTGTTATTCTCTCAGGCATAATTTGTTTCTTAACCAATGATGTTATTTAATCAAAACTCACACTTACATTCTTAAAAGCATTTAAAAAACAAAACAAGAAAGATATATTTCTGTGCCATAGTTTGGTTCTTAATCATCTAATCAAACTCCATAAATTTTCCACTCTCTCCAAAAATGAATTCTTGGCAGCCTTCACTGAAAAAGAAAAAAAAGTGAATGTAGAAGTTCAAAGCTGCCATTTATGTTTCTGATAATTCTAAATTAATTCCTAATCTACGAAGCATAAAGAAACTATGCTTGAGATGCAGCCCGCATCCAACCATATGGCTTAAGGAGACAGTCTCTGTGATGTGTGGCTACAGCTCTTTCTGTCCCTGGCATGCACACCTGAAGTTCATGCCCCCTAATGTAATTGGACAGTTTTGTTTGTGAAAATGGCCTGTTCTGCCAAATGCTGAAGTCCTTGCTTTGACAGATATATCACTTTTCCGAAGTGAGTGTATTTTGAAGAGAGCTGACACATGATCAAGTTCTCTTTAATATCCTTCAACAAACCTGACAGTTGTCCAGCAGGGTCTTGTGCTGTATCCAACTGTCAGCTACTACCGAGGCATTATGGGAGAATATACTAAGGAAAACAGCAGTAAGGGGAAAAATCTGTCTTATGATTTTTCTGCTAGTTAGCTTAGTATCAAAACAGGTACTTACACTTTTATTTATTTTAGCAAGCCTGCACAGAATGGGTTTAATTAGATTTCAGGTCTTACTGAACAACATTTTTTGGACTGCAGGGCTTTTTCCTATTTCATACTGAAAATCACCCAAAAGCTTGCATTTACATGCATCTAAGATTAGGTCATTTATTGAAAAGCAAAATGTTAAGACTGATCAAGACTTAATGTATGCCTTAGGATCTTCCCCAGAACCGAGCCATTTTATAAATATCAATAACTAACTACACAATATTTAGCGATACGGCACGCCTCACATTGACATTGTTGTCAAAAGGATCATGGAAAAGTGATCCTTTGTACACAAACAGATTTATCTGGTTGGTGTTTTCTTGTTTACCTTGTTCTATTATTGAAAATGCTTGTATTTCATAAAGGCTCTCATGATTTCAGCCCAGCTTTATCTACTCTTTCACTTGCCCTCATGGCCAGCATTACAGTCCTGTCACCCACCTTCCAGTTCTCTCTTTCCTACAGAAAGGAAGGGTCTGCTTTACAGGAACTCCGAATTATTTGCTGGAATTCAACCTGCAGGTCAGGTTGAATCTCCTGTAGGAAAGAAGGAATTGTTACATGGCTAGGGCAATACCATAGGTGCACGCATTAGTCTTAAATCAGAAGAATATTTGGTCCCCTCTTTTCTTCCATAAACTCCTCCAGTCATTTTCTGTACCATTTCTTTCCTCGGTGCATTTCTTTGTTGTGCTCTTATTTTTCCTGGGTCTCTTTACTCGCCAGACCTGAACCCAAATCTGATGCCCCTGATAGAGTACGGCTTTTAAAGGACATTTGGAAGGCTTTGCTTATACTGGGATTATGCCACCAGGGTAGTGTTACTGGGGTAAGTCCCCAGTAAAGAGAAGAATGGAGAGAGCAGCACAGCACTACTGGTTCTGCTTTGGGGGCTGCATCATTGGTATGAAGTACACGTATGGTTGGCACTGGTGCATTACACCCCAGTATGGACAAAGACATACAATGCAGAGATGTTCACATGCAGATACAGCAGCAGTCTTTTTTGTAGAAGATAGTAGACAAGTGGTCTTGAAGCTCTGTAGCTATAGAAGAAATGTTCTGGACTAGAGTATTGGACAGTATCTTTGCTACCCCTACTATCCCAGTGTCCCCTTAAATATTGTCCTTAGGTGACTGCCTACTTAGCCTATGGCAAAGGCCACACTTGTCTGCAATGAAGTCCCATAATCTTGGTTTATTGCATCACATGTACTGTATTTGCTCAGGCTTTTGCCTGAGGGGGTGCTTGTGGGAAATGTATAGCTTTTTTTTTCCCTCTTGTCTGAGAGACTATTTAGGCTGACATTTATCAATAAATTACACATATTGTTATACATTTTCCTGTCGTAGGAACACTCAAAGATTATGTGATGAGCACATTTTATCAATCTTGAAACATTTTTTACAAAGGTTTTTGCTGGGAGAAGTGATGGGAATGTCACAGATTCAGCACAACCTGATCACATAGTCAAATGAAAAGACATACAAGATGGCTTTTGAATCCAACCCTTGCTTTCAAGAAACATTTGGGGGAGGCTGCTATGGGCTGCTTTCCCTCCCCCAGCTTTGCAGGCCTCAGACTGCAGTAGAAATGTAACACGGGCCTGTGTTCCTACAAAGACCATAAATCTTGCACAGTCAGACAATTCAAACATTCCCCAGCTCTGAGTCTTATTTTTCTCCTCGTGGGCTAAACTGTGGAAAGCCACTCCTTGTTTTCATGTTAACTTTTTAGCTTGTTTGTTCCAAAGCCACAGCAAAAAGAATCTGCAATCAAGATCAAATCATTTTATCATCTCTTTTCTTTGAAAATAAATTTGTTCAAAAGTCAAGCAGATCATTTGTCTTCAAATTTCATTTCTCAAAGTCCAAACAGGTTATTGCCACAGTATTTTTCATCATTTCAAACTGTTGTGAAATCAGTTTATTCCCTGTTATGCTCCTCATCTATATGTTAGGATATTTCAAAATAACCCAATGCAGAGCATATAATGGAGACTGCTGTTAGTCACTTTAGCAGAAGAAACAGTTGCAGTAATGGAAGAGCTCAAGAGGATATTATTATCTCCTGACCGCTATGGGGCTATAGGTATTGCTGACCATACACTTTTGTGGATTAAAGTGTTTAGTTTCACTAGAATAGACTAAGAACAGGCTAATATTGGGGGAAATTACCTATGAGCATTTCAGTAAGTTTTAAATGAAATTCACCCTCAGTGTATTCAGCAGCTGATGCACACACTCATGCAATAGTATTTTTTGCTACAATAGCAAGATTTGTTTAATCACAAGCTGCAGTTGCTTTCTTGACTAAACAACATTCATTTCAGCAGGCAGTTCAATTATGTTATAAAATGGGAGGTCCCCAATTAGGGAAGAAAGGCAATACAAGATGAGCAAATTCACCCTGTGCTCAGGATAAGCAAGAGGCCTGTACACCATGTCAGTCCTACTTACACCTTATTTGAAAGACTTAAGTACAGCTTAAGGGCTACCTAACTAGGCCCACTGCTGGCCCACTGCCTAGGACTATATTTCATCCACAGTTCATATATCGAAGTAATAAGTCAGAGCAAGCAGATGGTATGAAACCAACAGGCTGGAGTTTGTTCACAAAATACATTGGAACAATTGCCCATGACAAAAACAAAATTCTTCAGTGTCACAATATGTCCACAGACACCTCACCAGAGACAAAGAAAAGAAGGTGTTCAAAACTGTTTGTCAATCTTTTTGTGGACCACTTGGCCTTCCATCAACAAGTGATGGCAGAACCTCAAAAGCATGAAAGGTTTAATTCAGTTAAGCACCCACAAGCTGAGGGATTGGGGTAGGGAAGTTGCCAAAGAGGGAAGACAGAGTCACCAGCATGCTTGAAGATAAAATGTTCTTTTTAACCAAGGAAGCATTCCAAGAAATAGCAAAGAATTGCAGGAACAAAATCAGAAGTTCAGAAAATGAACTTCACCTCATGAGACAAGTTAAGGACATCAAGAAGAGGTTCTAGAAGCATGTTGGCCAGAAAAGAAAAGAAATAAAAGGCAAGAAAGACCATGGAATCTGTGGGTTTATTATTAAATAGCCAGGGTGAAGTCTTGACAGAAGATACAAAGAAAGCACAGCTGCTCAACAACTATTTTGCCTAAGTCTTCACCATAAAGTTGCAATCAACTGCAACCAGACATCTTACAAAGATTATTTGGATAATGAAGGGGACAAGCTGATGGATGAGATAACAAAAGAAGCAGTTGGAGTTCTTAATGGTTCTGAATGAATTCAAGTCAGCAAGACCTGATGAACTTCATCCTAGGATACTGAAGGTACAGGAAGAGAAGATCGATCTTGGGCCCCATGATAATATTACCAAGTCAGGAGACATAGGCGAGGTACCAGAGGATTGGAAAAGTTCCAACATAGTACCCCTCTTTAAAAAAAGAGGCAAAAGGGAGGACTGGGGAAGTATAGACTAGTTAGACTCACTGTGATATACCATGGAAGTTACTGAACCATATCATTAGCAAAGTCATTTTCAAGGACCTGGTCAAGCTTGAGCTTTGATCATGAGCAGCCAGCATGGATTTATTATGACCAAACTTGATCTCCTTCTTTGCCAAGATAACTAGTTGGGTAGATGAAAGGAATGCTATGGATATAATGTGTCTGGATTTCAGCAAGGCTTTTGACAAAGACCCACACAACCTCCTCAGAAACAAACTATAGAAATGTGGGCTACACAAAACTACTATGAGGTAGATAGACAACAGGCTCTATAGCCACAAAAAAATGGTAATTATAAATGGATCCATGTTGGAATGGGAGGAGATTTTGAGTGGAGCCCGGCACAGGTCTTTCAACATGTTCATTCATGATTTGGATGCTAAAGTAGAGAGCTTCTTCAGGAAATCTGCAGACGAAGCAAACCTGAAAGGGACACATTGGAGAAGAGGAGCACAATTTAGAAGCATCTTGACAGACTGGAAGGTTGGCTGGAGCTAATAGGACGGCACTCAATGTTGACAATACTATACCTCAGGAATCAAGAATAAATATAACATCTGGTTGATGGCAGCACTATGGAAAATCTAGGAGTCTTGGTGGATTACAAACTTGATATGAGTGTTCAGCATGATGCAGTCACAGAAAAGGTGAATATGGTTTCACACTGTATCAGTTAAAGCATTAGGTGCAAAACACAAAAGGTGATAGTGCCTATTTCCTCAGCACTGGTTAGGGCTCACCTAGAGAACTGTGGATAGTTTGGGGCATTTTAAAAATGATCTGGAAAAGTTAGAGAGGGTCCAGAGGCAGCTGACAAAAAATACTAAACCATACAAGGAGAGGTTAAAGGAAACAGACATGTTCAGCTTAGGGAAAAGGCATGAGAGGAGATGATAGCAGTCAGCCCCAGGAAGGGCTGCCATAAAGACTGGTATGAACTGTGTAGGCTTTGTCTTCCTCTGTAGCAGGGTTTAGATCTGTTGGGAGTGTCCATAGTTGTGCTGCTGGTACTTGTCCCCGGGGAACAGTCATGCACGTGCACTCTGGCACACAGCAAGTTGCCCCAGGTGGGGTAGGGAAGGCTGGGGCCAGCACCTGGGCTGCCCTCAGCAGCCTTACCTGGGATCCTGGGGCTCCAGCAGTGTGCAAAGCCTGGCTGGCAGCTCGAGCATGGCTCCAGCCAGTAAAGTTCTGGTTTCAGGTGGCTAACGTTGCTACCACATGTGCCGCCTTGCTTTTTTTTCCACGCTCAGGGTCTTCTTTACACCAGGATCTCCTGGTGTAAAATTAGCAGTGCAGCAAATGCCTGCATGTGCAGTGCATGTGGTCTGCAATGCTCATAGCACATGTGTGTGCTCATCTGGAAGCACCTCTTGAATGTATTTTAATAACCACTGCAGCAGCAGGACTGACCACCATTGTCTTGTGCTTTACCTGTCCCTCCTCCCTCACCAGGAAACACCAGTGTTCTGCAGCTGGGGCAAGGTAGTTGGGCCAGGGCAGCTGTGGGGACAGAAACCCCCTTCCTCTCTCCACTCGACCCCACCCGCCTAGGCTGTGCATGGGACTGGGACCAGAGGCTGGCACTGACTGGGGTCAGTGATAGCCAGAGCATGGGGCCGGCCCAGGTTAGGGTATAGCAAATGAGCTCTGCCCAAGGCTAGAGTGCAGCCCTGAGCAATAGAGATGAGGAGACTAAGAGGAGATTTAATAGCAGCCTTGAAGAGGTGTTCAAAAGAGGATGGTGCTAGACTGTTCTCAGTGGCGGTAGAGAACAGAACAAGAAGCAACGGTCTCAAGTTTCAGCAAGGGAAGTTTAGGTTAGATATTACAAAAAAATATTCTTGCTAGGAGGATAGTAAAACACTGGAACAGGTGACCCAGAGAGGTGGTAGAAGCTTCATCTTTGGAGGTTTTTGAGGCCTGGCTAGACAAAGCTTTGGCAGGGATGATCTAGCTGGGGATGGTCCTGCTTTGAGCAGGGGATTGGTCTAGATGACCTCTTGGGCTCCCTTCCAACCTTCATTTTCTACGAT